CATGTAAAGGTACAATTCCCAATGAGAAATGTAATTGTGTTGTATACCTACAATGTACCAATAAAAGAATTTAATACAAAAAAAAAAGAATGAGACTAACGCTCAATGAGAATGAGAATAGGTCATTCAGTGGATCTAGAAATAATTGAGGATTGGTGTATTAGCTTTCCATCTCTGTGGCCAAATATCAGAAATGAAGTAAAGCAGGATTATCTGGCTTTTAGTTTCAGGTTTCAGAGTCCATGGTTGCTTGACTCCATTTCCCTTAGGCCCGTGGTAAGGTAAAGCATCATGGTGGAGACCTGGTAGAGCAAAGCTGATCACTTCATGGCAGCTGGGAAACAGAGAGAAAGATAGAGAAGGGTCAGGGGCAAAATATCCCCTTCAAATCAAAGGTTTGGACCCAGCGATCTACTTTCCCCACCTAGGCCCCTTCTCCTGAAGTTTCCACACCCCATGGTAAGGTCATCAAATTATGAAGCCATCAATGATGAATCCATTGTGAAGTCAGAGCCCTCAAGATCACTCTGCTTTTGAGCACTGCTGCGTTGAGGACCAAACCTTCAACACACGAGCTTCTGGCGGATGTTTGAGATTCAAACTATATTAGTAGTTATATGTGGATTTTCAAGAGGAAAATATTTCATTAACCAGAAGGATGGAAACTAATTTTACTTAGAAAGGTTACTGATAATAAGTAGGGTCTCCCTCAATTTTTCTAAATTCACAATATTTGGTACATGCAAGATCTGTTGAAGTTCACATTTAGAGAACATTATCAAATGCAAAGAAGCAGTGATGTGAGAGAATGAAGCAGAGTTTTGGGAAGGCAGGAGCCCTCTGCCTCTTTCAGTTTTTGATGCAGATTGGCTGCAAGGCAGAGCAGGGCTGAGAGCTCAGGTGTCACACTCTGACAGTGTTCATAGGTGTTGGTGATGTCTGTTAAGTAGGAGTTCATGGGGTGATGACTGGGAGATTTTCCCAGAATGGTGAGGGGAAGGGAGGATTTCCTCTGTAGTTGGAGGTTGGAAGGAGCATACTCTGGAAAGTAGTGAAAATAAGCAAAAGGAAATAGGGAGGACTTCCTCCTAGAATTGATGATGCTAGGGATATACTTTGGAACATAGTAGAAGTAAACAAATAACCCAAAGGAAGGCATGTGTTTGTAAAATATTGGGCAGGTTATTGGCATCTCTGTGCCATGTATGGTTTTTTTTTTGTGAGGATTGTAGCATTTTATCACTGAAAGCACTAGAGCAGAAAGCAGGCAACTTTGATCATTCACAAAAGGCTTCTGCTCTTGTCTGATTAAACACTACACTAAATTCTTCTGTTTCTAAACAGCTGCCCATTTTTTAGAATCTTTAATTTTTCTGTAAAAACAAGTAGATTGGAAATTCTAGTTATATGCAAGTTGCTCAAAATTCACTGTGAGACTGTAGTGTATTTACTTAAATACACAAGGTAAGCAGGCATTGAATTTCCTATGGACTAACTGATCTTTGCATGCAAATTGGGAAACACTTCCTGTGAAAGATTATACTTCTCAGATCCCTTTAACTTCCAGAGACACAGATCAGGCAGGCTGTTGCAAGGATCAAAGCAGAAACCCCTCAACTGATTGCCAGTTAGTGAATTCAAAGGAGGGAGAAATCCGATCAGATCCACAGGGCAAGAATTGTTTCATCACCTAACATCAGACCAAAAGAAATACTAATGCAATGTATTATCTTAGTAAACTTCAATGTGGGCCTAAAATATTTTAAATTATTATTTAGAAAATGCATTAAAAGATCTATATAAAATTTCTAGGTTTTTAACGATTAAAAATTTAATATTTGCAGAGAATCAGTTTGTCATTGACTGTATATTTGTACATTTAACTTAATTAAAAAGTAAAATTTCTACTTTCTATATGAAAACCCCGTCATTAACATAGAAAGATATGAGTTTAATCTTTTTCATTTAGGCTGCAAATCCCTGAAATTATAGGTATATTTTTCTCTTATACATCTAATTACTCCATATAATGGACAGGCAACCTGTGGGTGGAACCCTCAGCACTCATGAAAATCACTGGCAACTGACAAACAAAGCAAACACAATATGGCAAAGGTGTTAGAATCAAAGTGATTCTGTTAAATTTTCATCAATTTCTAATGTAGATTGAGTTAAGATAGAAGAGTGAACAAAAGTGTTGAAAAATTTTGAAATTCCAATACAAGATCTTACAAACTGCCAGAAAAAGATAAGAAAATTCTGTACAACTGTAGCAAAATGTAGGAAATTAACATTCCTCTAGTTCTCAGAAGTGACACAATGTAGTTGACACAATGGATGAGGAACAGGGAGCTTTCTCTGGGCAGAAAGTCACACATTTTCTCGATTCATCTGAGGTTCCTCCGTGTCTTGCCTATTTTATTTCACTCTCTGTTTGTGGCCAGTCCTTCTGTTTGCTGAGACCAGTGTTTCTCACTGAGTGTGGTATGGCATGGGCCCATGGCTGGGTCATTTTCGTATACCTGGTTGTTGTTTCCCACAGGACCTGGGAGAAACCTACCTTGGATTTGAAGGATTGTGCTGAGGCCCAGGTCAAAGGAATTCCCACTGCCCTTCAGCACTGCAGTATGTTGAGAGGTAAGCATAGGGCGGAGACAGCAAGAAAGGAGAGGAGCCAGTCTGTGAGGCCTGAGAGTACATTTCCTTTGTGCCAATACCAACATCTTCTTCCTGTTGTTGGCAGAGATGACCACAATGTTGCCATTTTTGTGGTCCTGTCACATGCTTGACAGGGACCTAAACCCCTTTAAAATGTGATGTCATTTAATATTATCCATGACCTTTGAAAGTACAAGCTATTAGGGCTGGGGATTTAGCTCAGTGGTACAGCCACCTGTCTTGCAAGGTCCTCAGTTCGATCCCCAGTACCAAAAAAAAAAAAGTACAAGCTATTATCATTCTATTAGAGCTAAGATTCAAAATTGAATTGTCTCTGTGCCCATCGGGCAGCTGAGAACATGAGGTGTCGCTGGGCTTGGCGCCTCTTGCGCTCTGATGGCAGCGGGGGCCGCTGGGTTTCAACTCCGCGCGGGCGTTTCTCGCCGGCCCTGTGGAGAGATTTCTTGACCACCACAAGCAAGGAAGGATATGATAGGAGGCCAGTGGACATAACTTCTTTAGAACAAAGGAAATTAACTTTTGATACCCATTCATTGGTTCGGGATTCAGAAACTCGTGGTTTTGACAAAGCACAAGCGGAAACAATTGTATCAGCATTAACCACTTCATCTAATGTCAGCCTGGATACTATCTATATGGAGATGGTCACGCAGGCGCAACAGGAAATAACAGTTCAACAGCTGATGGCTCATTTGGATTCTATCGGAAAAGATATGGTCATCCTAGAAAAAAGTGAATTTGCAAATCTGAGAGCAGAGAATGAGAAAATGAAAATTGAATTAGACCAAGTTAAACAACTGATACAGGAAACCAGCTTAATCACAGCAGGTAATAAACTGGACATCAACCTAGAAAGAAGCAGAGTAACAGATATGTTTACAGATCAAGAAAAACAACTTATGGAAGCAACCACAGAATTTACCAGACAGGATACCCAAACCAAAAATGTTATTTCAGAGACCAGTAATAAAATTGATACTGAAATTGCTTCCTTAAAAACACTGATGGAGTCTAACAAACTTGAGACAATTCGCTATCTTGCAGCCTCAGTGTTTACTTGCTTGACAATAGCTTTGGGATTTTATAGATTCTGAAAGTACTACTAATGCTGCTACCACTGCTGCTAATGACTTCTTAGAACACTACCCCAAGACAGATTTTCTTTCAATGCTGTCAGTTGCTGAAGAAACTTATTACAAGATTATCCATGTATATATGGACTAGAAAACTGTTTCACATATTTCAACTTGATTTTGTCTTTATTTTATGTTGAAAAGCTGTCATCCAAAACAAGATTTTTTTGAGATGAAAGAGCATTCTGTCCCCAACTTTTGATAGTTCATAGAAAAGGAACCAGAATTTTCCTGTGTTTGAACAACTTTATAAATAAAATTTTGTTGATATCTGCTGCAAAAAAAACCCCACCAAAAAAACCAAAATTGAATTGTCTCATTCTACTTTGTAGCCCTAATGGAGAAAGAATGTTCTGGAGGAGCAAAAATCTGTCACTCAAATGGAAAACAGGGTCATCAACTTCTAATCTACATGGGACACATGAAATAGCAAATCTCACTGAAAATTAAGTATAATTTTTATTAGAAAATATAATAATATAGCAATTGCATTGGAAAATTAAAGGGTAAAAGATTATAGTTATATCTAGAGGTGGCCAACAAGCATAGATTTTAATTCAACCAAACATTTCTAATAATTCCAGCAGAGGAGTAGATACAATTTACCAAACCAGGGTAAATGCTGAAAATCAAGGGTGACCGTCAAAGTAAATCTGCAGTACTCAATCTTGGTTGCTACTTTGAACCAACTGCAGATCTTTTGAGATTCCTGGTGCCACAAAATTACATCAGAATCGATGGAAGAGAATCCATGCATAGATTTTTTTTTAAAAAATTTGTTTTAATCTCTTCAGGTCATTCTAACATATCCCCCAAATTGAGAAAAAAACAACAACACCAAGGTGTGGGGAAACAAAGTCAAGATCATTAAATCAGGGAGATTCAGTTGAAGGGTCTTAGAGAGCCAGGCATCAATTTGTTTTGAAATCCAAGTCTGTGAGGAGTTCCCCGTGGATCAAGTTAAATACCGATCTTGAGTTTTGTCCCAGTGTATTCTGGATTGATGCTTTGGGATGTTCCTTGGTCTCTTGAAGATATGAACCACCACAATCATTTTAATCTAAGCATCTTCAGAGAACCATTGGGGAAACCATACCCAAGATAGGGTTGGCCCTAAATGATGCCTATCTGGGATGTAGCGAAAGACAAACCTCAGAAGTGAGTAGGGGAAATGTTTGCCCAAAATGTGAAGGTGGGGAGTGGAGTCTGCTCCTGACCTTTAAAAGCAGGCATGGTTCCTAGTGTGAAGTTAGTGTGGGCATGCAACATGGTTGGCAGGGCAGGGCTCTTTCTACTTCTCAAAGCCCTCACAAGTCAAGCAGAGCAATCATGAGGCATCAAAGAATTAAACAAAGACAATGGAGCTAGCCACAGCACAGAGGTGAGTCTGCTAACTTGTCAGGGGAGGGAACAGGCCAGAGATGCTATCCACTGGGTACCTTGCTTAGCAGGAGAATTTGGGTTTTAAGTTCTTGGGATAAAGTTTATGTTGGTTTTGACACTTATATATTGAAAATGAGTCCTCAGAATCATAAGGACTCAGTCTGAGTCTCTGTCCATGACTGGAGAAATTGATGCTCTTATTCATTTCTTAGCCAAAGCCTTTTGTTGAGTCCAGTAGGGTCAGAAGTGCCTCTCTGCTGAAGATCCCCAATTGCTCAATTCACCAAGTGAGGTAAAATATAAAATTTCATCCTGACATCTCTCAAGTAAGGTCACTGGAGGGAAGGCTGTCCCCTATGCAGATGTAATGGGGATGCTGCTTTAAGCCTCACTTGCCTAAAACAAGGGTTCAAAAAAGACAACAAGGAGCCTCTTTTCAATAAAATTGCTTTGAGTCCCTTCCCAGCCCTTTCTCCCTTTTTTCCCTCCCAATGTATTCTGGAATGAGCACTGGCATTTGAAAGGTGAGCCTGGTCCTCAAGCTTTTTCAAGAATGAGGCTGCAGAGGGGCCCATGGGTTTCTCAGGTTCTGAAACACCAGAATATCATTTCTTAAATTCAGCTAATTCTAAGATGTGAAAAGCCCCATTATTTTTTATTTCTGTTTATTTATAATGTATTTGTGTTTATTTTCCATTTATTTATAACTGTATGTTTAATTTCCATTATGTCAATAGGCACATTTCTGAACTCCTCTTCTTCTAATAATTTATTAGTTGGCTTTCTAAGACTTTTAAGTAGGGAGTCATAATAACTGTAAATAATAGTCTTCTTTTACCTTCTGTTGGCTATAATTCTGACTTTCCCTAACATATCTATATTCATTTAAATGTTTAGGGTAGTATATGAAATATAGCCCATTTATAGAATTATGAAGTTAATTTTAACCTTGATAGGAATAACCACACAGGTCCTGCAATTTGTGTTCTGTGGCATACTGATATGGCCTAAATGTAAAAATACATATATTTTTTATGTAAAAAATAATGTAATTTATAGGATGAAATGCTAAATACTTGGTATGATATAATAAATTATGTATAACATATATATTTTATAAAATACAGGTAACATTGTGTTATGATTTATATCTAGTTGTTCCTTAAAAGCCTCATGTGCTCATAGGGAAGGCTTTTGGTAGGTGGTTGGATTATAGGTGTCCTACAGCTGACTTGGTTATAGAAGGTGGGGCCTTGTGGGGATGTGGGTCACTGGGGGTGTAACTAGGAAGGTTAAATCTCCATTGCTTCAATCCTCCTTCCTTCACTTTCTACTTCCTGGCCACCATGACTTGAGCAGCTTTACCTCCACTATGCCTCTCTGCCAAGCTTCTCTGAAGCTACTCAGCCATGGGCAGAAATGTGAGCCCAAATAAATATCCCCTCCTTTAAATTTTGGTTATCAGGTATTGTATCTCAGCTGCAAGAAAATGACTAATACACATTTTGACACCAGGGAGGTAGGGTCATTGGTGTGACTTACATGACCACATGGTGTGGAATCCTTTGGAACTGGCTTGCAGGAGGAATTTGGAAAGGTTTAGAGATGGGCTAGAGAAAGCCTAGAATATCAAAAGTCAATCTTGATGTGTGATACTGGTCAGACCTCAGAAGATCAGAAAGCAGAAAAGAATACAGACTGCAAAGACTAGGCTCAGGAGGTTTCAGTTTGGGGAGAAGGAGTCCATTGGCAATTGGGCTACAGAACATGCATGCTATGCTCTGGAAGAAAATTTGTCTACTTCTTCAGATTATGAGGACACTATAGCTGATTTGCTCTTAGAATGGGAGGCCTGGTCCAGAGAGGCAAGTCAGTGGGGGTGTGACTTGAAAGGATGTATCTCCTTCCACAGCTCCTCCTTCCACTCTGCTTTCTGGCTTCCATAACATGAGTCCCTGTTCCCCTTCCTTGTCCCTCTGCCATGCTCTTTCTTATTTGGAGCTGGCTGACCACAGACAAAAATGTGGGCCAAAATGAATCTTTCCTCCTTTAAGTGGTGGGTCTCTTGTGTCTCAGTGATGAGGAAAGTAACTAAGACATACTGTATGTGCCAAGGATATTCAGGCATAATTTTATGCAAAAAATCACCCTTTCTAAGTCAATAGACCAATTAATTAAAAAATTTACAGTCAGTTATGCAATGTCATCATCATATCCTAACCATTTCTGTTTCCCAGATTCCCTCATAGTTCATATTACTCCATCTGTAACCACTTGTTTGTCACCTCAGTGCTTTCTCCTTATATAGAATGTCATATCAAATAATACTATTTGATATTTGTGTGTGTTTTCATTTTTTGAAGCAAAACATTAATAGGTTTACATTTATATGTTAAATATATATATATGATAAAATTATCATAGGGAATTTGTACCTGTATGTGGTATATCTTGCTCCTTTTATTCCCATCCCCCCTCCTTTCAATCCCCTTCCCCTCCTTATATACAAAAGCTTTGTTTCCATTTTTCCTTCTATTTTCTCTTTTTCCTTGTTCCCTCCTTTTCTTTGCTCCTCTCCCTCCCTTGTTCCCCTTCTCATTTGAAAATTTTCTTCCCATTTTCCAATATCTATTATACATTTTATTCCTTATTTCCACTTTTGGTTTCTCACACCAGAGAAACAATTCAGCATTTAAACACGTTTGTTTGATTTATTTCACTTGAAAGTATGGTCTCAAGGTGCATCCATTTAGATATAAATATCTCAAGCTCATCCTTTATGGCAGAGTAGTACTCAATTGTATATAAAAAAAACCCCTCACATCTTCTTTATCCATTCCTCAGTTGATGGGCATTTTGGCTGTTTCCAAGATTTAGCTATCACAAATTATGCCACTATAAACATGGGTGTGTATGTATCACCGTGATATGATATTTTAATTCTTTTGGGAAGATATCAAAGAGAGGAATAACTGAAGCAAAGGGAACATCTAATTTTAGTGCTTTGATGACTCTGTCCATTGATTTCTACAGTGGTTGCACCAGTCTACACTCCCACCAAAAGTGGAGAAGGATACCTTTATCCACACAGCCTCACTAGCATTTGTTACTGTTTGATTTCTTAATAACAGCCATTCTTTCTGGAGTGAGATGGAATCTTAGTGTTGTTTTAATTTGTATCTCTCAAATTACTGTATATATTTAGGATTGTTCTGTCTTTACGTTGGATTATTCCCTTTACAAGAATGTAGTGGTCCTCTTTGTCTCTCTCAATCAGTCTTATCATGAAATCCACTTTGTCTGCAAATAGAATAGCTTCTCCTGCCTTTTTCTGGGTTCATGTCACATGGAGTATTGTTTTCCATCCTTTGACTTTCAGTTTATGAGTTTCTTTTTGAATTAATGTGTTTCTTGTATGCAGCATACTGTTGAATCTTGCTTCTTTATCCATTCTGGAAGTCTGTTTCTTTTCATTGGTGAATTGAGACCATTAACTTGACGGTTATAACTGCTATATATATACTTATCTTTGTCATATTGTTTCTCTGTTGTTGGCTCTTTTCTTCTCTAATTTCTTGCCTTGCCTGAAGGATTCATTCTACTGGGGTTCATGTAGATGTAATT